CAAAAATCAAGTAAATGTCTCTTGTAGTTTTGTTGGAGCAATAGTGAGCAATGTCAAGTTATTTGAAACTATAGACACACTAAGGAATAACACTTGAAGAAAGAGATGCCTAACAAATCGACCTTTATTCAAGTGGAGGTTAACCCATTCACCATTTTTTTACTAGAATAATTGTTTTAAGTTTGTCCTTCAAGTGTTCGGTTAAATTACCCGACGAATTTTTCTAATCCTAAAACACTTTGTTTTATCCCAAATGCCTCCTAGAACTTCCAACAAGTTTCCTAGGACTAGTGTGTCCACCCATCAAGGTCAATACTCTAACTATGGAAACTTTGAAAATGCTTGCTCTAGGGACAATGATCTCTACGTGTTCAATAGCCTTTATAAAACTAAACCTATTTGTTCTTAACGTACCATTGACCTTAATTTTCTTATGTCATGGGATTATCAATTCCTTATCTTTGAAACCTTCGTCTTGTAGGGTTGGTTAGAATTGTTTAGCATTCTTCCCAAGGTTCATCCAAACCTTTTTTTGTTTTCTTCTCTAATGCTATTCTTGTCCATACCAAAGGTAATGAGGATAAAGTTTATGGGATTGAGTTATATCTCATGGGTAAAACTTTCACTCGTAGTCCTTCCTCCATTGCATCTTACATAAATATCATTGAAAATGATGATGACACATTCAAAGAAAATTTTTATGTTCAAATGGAGAGATTCCCAAATGATAGCCGAACCTCTCTTGATTTCCCAGATCGTCTCTTGCTACTCCTCATCAGTTGGTTCTTTCGCACCTCTGGTGGTAAAGCTAACCATATATGCTCTTGCGACTATTAGTGGTTTTATCATATCAAGAATAACATCCATCCAAACTTTGCCAAGATCATATTCTTAGATCTTGTTAATGTTATCCTTAAAGGGGTCAATTATACTAAAATGCTTCCCTATAATTGTATTCTTAGCTATATCTTTAGGGACAAACTTAAAGTGTCTACCGCTCTTGACCCGCCTATTCCCCTCGTTAGTGTCATCGGTCTCAAATAGGCTCACAAGGACATTTGAGATTTCGATGACAATTTCGGTGAGTGGCATCCTTATAGAAGACAAATCTTTGATGACATCAAGGAGGAAGAGAATGAAATGGAAGAGCCATCGGTGCCCCCACTTCAAGAGGATATATCGATGAAGACCTTGTACGATCACGTGATTCAAGGACTCAGGAACATAATGCTTTCTTGGATGCGCTTGAGAATGCCGTTCGCTCGATACGTCATCATTTGTTCCCTCTCTCTCCTTCGCCACTGCATCGAAAGATTAACATTATTATTATTTTCTTTAGGACTTTTACATTTTGAATTTAACTTATGCACTTTATGACCTAATTTGGAACTTTATGTTATTTTATTTTTGATACTTTCTTATTTTGGTACATTATGGGTTTGAACTATTGTTGATGTTGATCTTATGTATATAAACTTGTTTATTTTTTGTTAAACATAATTTGACTTTTTCTTTATGTTGAATATTTGAGTTCCCTATTACACTAACATATTTTATTTTTTGAAGCTTAATTTGATTTTGTTATAACAAAGAGGGGGAGAAATATGTATAAGTGTAAAATTAGCAATTTTCTAGCCAAAAATTATTTTCTTAGGGGGGAGATTTTTTTTAACAAAATATTATAAATCAAATTTAAAGCAAATATTCACAAAAGGTTTTGTTATATAAAAAATGGGGAGATTGTTAAACTAACATTTGATTTTAATATAACATTATTTTTAAATGTTTTAAGTTGTTAAAATTTTAAGTTCACAATTTTATAAATAAATTTCATAAACAATTTTAAAGATTTTTTAAGTGTGAAAAATAATTACAATTGTTATCGAGTAATTTTACATTTTACAAACATTGTTTTAATGCTCAAAACACTTAATTTTTGCCAAAATCACTACCAGTCTCGATACCAAAATTCCAGAGGATTTTTTGGTATCGATACCATGGCCTCAGTCTCAAGACCGATAGGTGGGTATCAATACTGATTCAAATAATATCGATATTGATGGTTCAATGACTATATTTTTTAGCATTGGAAGGCTCGGTCTCGAGACGAACTTGTTGATATCGATACCAAATGTGTTGATGAGCATTAAATGCTCAAAGTTATAGAATATAACAGATTTATTCAATCCCTAACCGCTCCAAATGGCTCATTTGATGTTAAAAGACATAAAAGGGACCAAGATTCAAATGAAGAACAACAAGAAAGTAAATTGCAAGATCAAACCAACATTAATAGTAATTTAGAGAAACCCTTTGTAACACTTTGCTCAAGTGTGTTTTTGGTGAGTGTTTAATTTGTGCAAACAAATTTACCTTTGTAAGGTTTTTTTCTTTTGTTTGCTAAATTTGTAATTTCATTTTGGGAGAGTGTGTACTTAAAGTTTTGGGGTATAAATCTTAAAGTGTTTGTAAGTGATGTAGGGTAAAGTACCCTTTGATTGTGGATCTAGTGAATAAGAAAGTGTCTGCAAGAAGATTGACACAAATGAAGGGCTTGTTAGTTGATGTACATGTGAAATGGTGGGCTGTTTATGGAATATGAAAATAGAGATGGCTATGGAAGTATTTGGGGTGTGGTGATGGGCTTATGAAAGAAATGAATAGGTTAAGATAATATCTTGAACAACTAAGGTAGAAATTGGGCTATATGAAACCTAAAACCAATCCTTATAAGTTGAACAAGGGGTGGTAGTGAAGGATTTTGACCACTTTGGTATATGAAACCAAATTCACCAAAAGTATTAATGGAAAGGGGTTAATGCCGCAAGATCTTAAGGCCTTAATAAGTCGATAAAAGTTCAAAGAACTTAAGAAAAAGGAAAGCCTCACATAGTATATTGATAGTGATGGGATTGAGGCCTTACAAGAGCCAAGGAATTGGCTATTTATAGTTTTTCATGGGGCATGGCCGAATAACAAGGTAATGGTTCCGCTAGGTTGCATCCCTTTGAAGTTACATGATTATTCAATTGAAAACCAATGTCCCTAGGCCTAATGGAGATGTTGGTCATCTAGAAGAGCAATTTAAATCCTTGTGTTGGTTTAAAATAGCTTGTGGAATGAGGGTGCTTCTCCTTTTCCAAATAGAGGTGATGGTTCAACCTTGGTGAATTAAAATGAGTGGTGGAGAAGGCTTGGACAAATGGCGATGTTCCCTTTCATCTTTGGCACCTCATTTGAATTCAAAAGGGAATTGAAACATGCTTGTTTAATGAAAACACATGTTCCTAGCTCTGATGTGCTTCTCCACACCTTTCCTTATAGTGCTTCGGCTACATGTTGTTTATTTGGTTAGGTGCATGCTTGGAGGTGACTTAGGTAACTAGCTTGGCTAGTAAGCTAGCTAGGACCTTAGGTAGCTAGCTAGGTAATGTGGGTAGCTAGATACGTACATAGTGTCACTTTATCTACCTTCAACTTCCTCAGGTCCGTATCTCAGGTATTGTAGTCCTTATCTGCCCTCCAGCTAATGTTAGCTACACTTTAGCTCCCTTAGCTAAGCCTCGGCTGCTTTCCACTTTCTTGGAGCTTTCTTGAGCTTGTTTGACCTGGCATGTATTATGTGATCTTCCTAGAGCTTAGTATATTGTGTCCTTATGTCCTAAGTACCTATAAAAGGGTATTAAATCAACGTGTGAAGCTGTGTAAACTTAGGAAAACATTATAAATGATTAATACAACCTTTAATGAGCTAAGTATATGCTCAAAAATGTCATGTATGCATAGGATAAGCTAGGAATGAAGGTTAATGCATGAAATATGTTAAGTAAAGACATGTGTTCAATCCCTAGTCTTCTAAATGTATGATATTATATAGTTTTTCCCTTGTGATTAGAAATTCTTCAAAAGAAATAAAAGCTTGCTTGCATTTAAGTGCTATGACTTCCCTGGATTGCTTAACTTGAGATCTTGTGATTGGTCCTTATGGTATAACTTCTAGATCATAAGTAGGTGTGCTCACATCATCCCCTTTTTTAAAGTGATTGCCTTCAAATAATCACTTTCTTCATAAAGGGTAAGGTGTGATACATTGAATGTTGTACTCATAACATAGTCTCCTGGTAGGTCCACCTTATAAGCGTTGTCATTAATCTTTGCAATGATTTGGAATGGACCATCACCTCTAGGCATGAGTTTGGACTTCCTTTAGTTAAGGAATAATTTTTTTTGGAAATGAACTCATACCCAATCTCCACTTTTAAAAGTCACTTTCTTTCGTCATTTGTTGGCTTGTTGTTCATGTTGTCTTGTTCGTTTCTCAATTTTATCTCGAACTTGTTTGTGAAGCTTCTTGATAAAGTATACCTTTTCCTTTCCATCCTTGCTGATCATACCTCGATAAACTTGCTGGTTTTACGTTGTTGCTATGGTATTGCCTGATAATGTGACTGATGATGTTGAGCATTGCCTACTGCAGAGTATACTATTGATGTGAATAATGCTATTGTGTATTCCCAAAAATGGATTGCAATGATACATTGGGGTTGTCATGATTCTAGAAATTTGGATTATAAATGCTCTCATATATGTTAGCATTTTCATTCCTGTTATAATTTCTCAAAAAGTACACAAACTAGGGGTTTTGTGGATATTCCTCAAAGTTATAGTTAATACCACAATAAATACAAGAATTAATTGATGTTGATTTAATTTTATACATACCTCCAGGTTTATGTAACTTTTTCATTATTTCAGTCAATATTATCACCTCTGTAGTCAATCTGTCAAGAGCATCGTTGTCCACTACTGTAGTAACATGTTTATCCGACATAATCCCTGTAGTGGGGTATTAGAAGTCATTGTTGGAAATCCTATCCAAGATTTCATAAGCTTTATTGTAGGACTTGTCCAACAATGTTCCATTCACATAAGCATCTACAACTATCCTTGTTTGTATGTTAAGTCCATTGTAGAATATCTCCATTTGAGTCTAATGCTAGAAATCATGCATTGGGCATTTCCGCAACAAGTCTTTAAATCGGTCTCAAGCTTCATACAAGTTTTCATCCTCTAATTACTTGAAGGATGTGATGTCGTTTCTCAATCTTGCATTCATGTTGAGAGAGTTTAATTGCAGCAAGAACTTTTGGGCAAGTTCATTCCACAATGCTATAGCACTGGGTGGTAGCGAATTAAACCAAGCCTTGGCTTTGTCACGAAGTGAGTATGGGAACAACTTTAGCTTTAAGGCCTCCTCAGGCACTCCTTGTTGTATGAATGAATCACACACTTCCATAAATGTTCTCAAGTATGCTCTAGGATCCTTAATGTACATCCCACTATATTTCCCCATTGATTGTAACATTTGGAACATCATCAGCTTCTAATCAAAGTGGCCAACATGGATAGTCGACCGAACAATGCCATGATTTAAATAATCTAAAATGTGCACAACGTCCTTTCAAATTGACATATTTCTGTCATCAATGTTGAGGTTGTAGTCACTCATTTTCGTCCGTTTTTTTTAGTATATATATATATAAGATATAGTATATAGTTTTTTTTATAAAATTTAGAAAACATATATATAATATATAGTTTTTGAAAATATTTTAAAAATATGTATATAATATACAATTTTTGAAAATATTATGAATATATATATAATATATAGTTTTTGAAAACATTTTGAAAATCTATATAATATTTAATTTTTGAAAAAAAATTTAAAACATTTTCATGTATTATATTTTATTATTTATTTATTTTTCTTTTATTTATTTATTTTGGTCCAAATAGGTTCAAGTTCAACAATCCAAGAGGCCCAGCAAGGAACCCAACCAGGAGGGCAAGCCTTACCCAACAAACCGACCTGGCCAGGAGCCCAGCACACCAACCCAACCTGAGTTTGTTTAACCTAGCGAATTAGGGTTTCCAATTCAAGCAAAAACACCACACAATCCTGAGCCATTGGATCTGTAGCTAATCCAATGACCCAAAACAGAGACCGGTCTTAAGTTTTTCAACGGCCCTCAACCGCCGTGGAGTTCGACCAATTCGAAGAAACCATTCCCTAGTGGAAACAAAATTTTCCAGCAACAACAACAATCAACCCAACAATTTTATTTAATAGGATTCAAACACATATATTTCTATCCTAATGAAACACAAAAACCGAATGTAAAATAAGGGACTCCTAATGTTAGAAATCCCTGCAAAAAAATGAAACAAAAAACAGAGGATCGAAGAAAAAAACACTTGTAAACTTCGAAAAGAAAATAAATAAATAAGGCACTCTCTTTCTTTTTCGGTTCATTTGCATGTGGTTGTTTAGGCTTGTTTTGTTGTTTTTTATTAAAAAAGGAAAAAAACTGAGGATCTAAGAAAAAATAGATATTTTTCGAAAGATTTTTTTAGATCTAGTTCTCTGTTAGGCTCTTTTGTGAAAGCTAATCGGAGAGTTGGATAGAGGGGAACAAGAGCTTTCTATTGGTGTAAAAAAGGTTTGGTTTTTCTGCTGATAAATGGCGACCAGTGTTAGTCCACAGCGACCGGCGAAGCGGCGCACGGTCGGAATCTAGGTTTGCATGAACCTCTTCGAAGTGTTCTTCATAAAATAAAGAACATGATGAACATGTTCAGAGAAAACAAAAAATGGGGTTTTGATCCATTTTGAGGGGGTGGAAAATGAATTTAGTTTGTTATTTATGGCTTTATAGCCAACCTGAAACCCGATCGTATTCATCATAGGATCCGCGTGTTTTAGTTGGGTAGGGGCTAATTACCAAACTGGTCCCTGATTTCTTTTTAAAACTTGTTTTGCGCCTTAAATTCGATTTTAATTCTGATTTTTCTTTTAAATTCACCCTCACTATATTTTATTTTTCAATTTGGTTTTGTCTTTATTTATTTCATGTTTTATTTAATTATATTTAAAAGACTACTACACTTAATGAGTCATTAATTCAATAATAATCGTTCTTTTATTTTTCTTTTTTTATTATCTCTTTTTTATTTTAATTTTAGTAATTTTTATCTTTGTTTAATTTTGTAATTGAATTTTTTTGACTTTTTCTTTACATTATTTTTTATTACTTTGTGTTTTCAATATGTGTGATTTGTTTTTTTTTTAAATTTCCGTTATGTTAATTTTATTTCCTGGTATGTATATATTTCTTTTTTATGTTTTGTTTAAAGTATTATAATTTAACTTTTGTTTTTTTGATCAATTCAATACCTTTTATTTTACAAATCTAACGTTTTATTGACCTTTTAAGAGTACTTTTTAATCAATCGGAGATAAGTAATTTGGATCGGATTTTTACTTTTTATTTTAACTTGCAATTTTTTTAATTAAGACAACTGAAAATTAAATTAGTACCGAAAGGGCAGTACAAGGGTGTAAATCCTTCCTTGACTGTAACCGACTCCCGAATCCGACATATTTTTGGTAAGACGTAGATTAGGTAAGAAAATAAATTGAGGTATCCGATCAACCTAGTTTTTATTTTTAAAAATAAATTATCGATGGCGGCTCTAACCCATTTATTCAAATCGGAAGCCCAATTCCGGTCCCATTTTGAAAGACGACTGCGACAGCTTGGCGACTCTGCTGGGGAAGGGTAAGTGAGTCAGGATAAGACTAATTTTCGGTTGTCTTCTTAAGTGAAAATTGTAAGTTTAAATTTTCATGTAATTTTTGGATCCTTATTACTTACTTTGATTATTTTTCAATTAAATAGTTGTACTGACATTTTTTAATGGTTTCAGATTATTAAACATTTTCATCTCAGGCTCTATACCCGAGCTCTAAACCTTTTCTTAAGTGGAGGTGAAAGCGACACCTTCGTGGGAATTTATTCTCTGTATGGGCCTAACAAGTAACCTTCAGGATTCATATACCTTATGTCTTCGTATGAATTTATTCTCCGTATGGACATAAGGGAATGTATTCTCTCGAGTTTAACTTGGTCCATATAAGCTTGTAATGGGCTTAGGACTGAGGGTCTGGCAAGCCCAAGGGGGCACCAGCAAAGAGAACTCGGGTACCTTTTTTAGAACCTAAACCGGGAGAGTACAGGGAATTAGGATTTTTTACTTTTATCATACAGTTTATCATTTTTTTTACTTTTTATATCTTACTAACTGATTTTTCTTTCATGCTTGCTTTTTATAACTTGCATCATAAAAATAGGTAATTGATCCACAAAAGTGTTTATTACACACAAATAATCTGCATTAATGGACCAAGGGGTTGTAATGCAAGAGGTGAAAAATGCTGAGGTACGACTATGGTCTGAAAAAACTCAGAAAGAAAAGGGAGACAATCTGCAAGGAAACTATGTGTCATATCTGGTTGACTATGCTTCAATCAGCCTAAAGCATAATGATGTTCAAGAACTACGGAGTATTTGGGATTGCTGGAAAAGTGACCAAAAAAAGAGGTTTTGCTAGTGGTATGGTGATATTGCACTTATACTCTACGTTAAGACAGATGAGCCCCTAATTCGAGCCCTAGCACAATTCTAGAATCCGGGGTACAAATGCTTTACATTTAACCAAGAAGACATGGTACCCACAATTGAAGAATACACTACTTTGCTGCATTAGAAGGAATTACTTTGACCCATATCAAGCAACTAATTAAAATCACCCCGATAAATGGAAGGCAATGGACCCTTTTACACTGGGCATTTATGGTTTGGTTATCTTCCCAAAGACTTTGGGATACATTGAGGAGGTTGTGGTGGAACTATTCGAACAACTCCTGAAACGAGTAAATCCAGCACCGACAATTTTAACTGAAACTTTTCACTCCTTCAACCATTGCAGGAAGACTGGAAGAGGTAGATTTATAGGGTGTGCACAGCTTCTCCAAGTTTGGATCCATAGTCATTTTTGGAAGACTAACGAAATTTCTTACCACCGATTAAGCATAACTTTTTCTCCTTTGGGGGAATTCTTCACCCTGAAATGGAAAGAAGGTGTCCCAAAAGAAAAATGGATGAAGGTATTCATACACATTCAGGATAGGGATATTGTCTGGAAAGCCCATCTGTTAACCCATAGCAACATTTTTTCCGATGTGGATACTCATAAACTATGACATTACTCAGATTATGGGGAGGAGTCAGATACTCTCCACTTTTGGCACTTCTACAGTATGGGGCATGCCAGTTTTTCCCAATAACACATGTAATATCTGGATCGGAATTTGCATATCATGGGGACAATTAGAAGAAAAAGGTCAAAGAAGTAACTGAGTCATAGAAGAAAATGATCCGTATGGATGTCATTGCCAATAAGGACATACTTACTCCTGACTATTTGGAATGACGAAGGTTAAGGAAAAATGACACCATCCCAGTGCCAGACCATGAAGAAACTCGAACCATAGAAGTACACTTTAAGCATGTTCCCTCCGAGCTAAAGATAGCAAGGAAAGAATTTGAAGTCGAAAAGTAGGAGCTAAAACAAAGTGTATAGGAACTCAAGGCTGAAAGAATCCAGTGGAAGATGGATACTGATACCCAGAAGCATCGGGTAGACAAGTTATAGAAAGAACAAAAGAGAATTTGTTTTGAGATTGAGGATTTGAGAAAGGGATATCAAGAACAAGTCCATAACAATTCCAATATGAATATGTCTTCTGAAAACTAGAAAAGTGAAACTAGCAGCCTGAAAAGGAAGTTTGAAGGGAAGAATAAAAGAGAGACCTTGAAAGAATAGGTAAAGACTTCCCAGAGACAATTGTTAGACAACCAACACCAGAATAAGCATTTGGGGATCCAGGTAATTGATTTAGATAAATCTCTTTAGAAACAACAAGAACGGGATAACAAAACCATAGCTAAGTTGGAGGCCATTGTAGACGGATTCAAGAAACAAGCAAGTGAGCTTTAGATAGTTCCCTTTGATGGGGGATTTCAGTGGCTCTTTCATTGGGAACATGCCTAGAAAAAAGGTGAAATCTAGAGAAGCTGTTATCTGAGATTTCTTAGAACAAGTACAAAAAGTAGCTCGTCACTTGAATAATAAAGAAAGGGAAGCCGGAGTGGTCCAACAAGGTATTCAACCAGTGACAGATGCAGTTATCCGAGATTTCTT